ATTGGGGGGGTTTTTTGAAAAAAGGTTTTGCCAAGAAAGTCGTAAAAATTTTTGAAACAATGCCGGCCCCAGAAAAGAGGAGGGAAACCGTTCGTTACAAGGGGTTTTTGAAAACGGGGGAAAAAAAAAGGCTGAGAGGGCCGCAAGTGGACCGTGGTGGTTGGCTTCAAAAAGGGCGCCACTAAAAAAGGGAACACCTGGCCCCCAAGAAAAACCCTGCCCAGCCGCCCGGTAAAAAAAAAACTAATGGGTTGGGCAGTCAAAAAAACTGCAAAGAAAGACCACACACCGGGCAACGAAACCTGCCCAGAAAAAAACGGAAAAACAGGCGCCGGAAATATTTTTTTCGAGAAAAAAAAAACGAATGCCCACCGTAAGTCTTCGCAGGGGAAAGAAAAAACCCAAGAAAAGAAAAAAAACCCAGGAAACAGGGGAGTTTTATGAACTTTTCAGAAGTTTGGGGAAGTTTGAGGGGGGCCAGCCAGGAAAAAGTTCCCCACTGAGAAAGGGGGTTTTCTGGGAAATGTCGACTTGCAGGGGCACCCGCCCACATTTGTTTTTTTTTTCAACAAAAGACTTGCCCAAAAGGTTTAAAGAAAAAAAAAAAGGTTTTGATGGAAAAAAGGTCCCCAGGGAATAAAGACACACTGCCCGTTGGAGCCTGGGACGGCACGCGGGTTTTGGCAATGGGGCGTGGGCCAGAGCGCCGAGGGCGATTGCAAAGAAAGTCCTGTTTTCTGAAAAATAGAAAAACCCCAAGCAAAAAAGGAAGAACAAAACCCCTGAATTGGCCAATGCCCTGAAGCAAGGCGGCTTTTTGTTATTCCCCATCCCTTCTCAACAAAGGACCATTTTTCCTGTTTGAACAGCAGCTTACTTGGCCAGGCCGGAGCAACGTTTGGGGGAAATCTTTCCAGAAAAGGGAAAAAAGGGACGTTTTTCAATTCCCAACAAAAAGAAAAACGTACAAAATTTCCATATTTCAACGTTACAAATGATTAGATTATAATTATGGTACACAGTAAAAAAATAAATAATTTGAAATGGAAAGATGAAATGTGAAAAATGAATCAAATGCAAAGGGGTTTTTTTTTGTCAATGAAAAAAATTAAGCAGAAAAACAATGGCATGAAAAAAAAGGGAAAAAAAAAATTAACTGGGGCACTGGGTTTAATTTACAAATGACATTAGAAAAAGGTTTCCAGAATTGTTGGGGGACCGGTTTTTATTGAAAAAAAAAAATTTAAAGGGTTTTTCAAACAACCTCTACACTGGGTGAAAGTTTTTTTGTTGCCACTCCAGAAAAAAAGAAAAAAAAGTTTTTTACAGAAAAAAAACCAGAAAAAAAAAAAATAAGAAAAAGAACCCCTGATGTTTTTTTTTTTAGGGCTTAAAAAAAACCCCTTCCTTTAGAGGCGCTATTTTACACAAAAACAAGAAAACTGGCCAAAAGGGAAACAATTCCCACCAGGAAAAAAGGGTCCCCTTAAAGAAATGGGTTTTAACAAAGAAAATTATTGGCAACTTTCATTTTTACCCGATGAAATTTTTCCAGTACAGTTTTGTTTTGGTTTTTGGTTTTTTAAAATTCTTAAAGAAAAAAAACAAAAGTTGAACAACAGTCAAAGCTTACAGAAGGGAAAAAAAAAAAAGTTTTTTCCCCTAGTTGAATACAGCCCCCATTTACGGGCAAAGGGTTGGAAAAAATTGCTTTTAGAATCTGAAAAAATAATGGGGTTTTACTGGAAAATTCACAAGGAAAAAAAGGGGGTTTCCAGACCTTGGGGCTCCAATTAAAAAAAGCAAAATCAAGAAACATCAAACTTCAAAAAAAGCACCTTTACTTCCTTCCCTCAACCAAAAATTGGAAACCCTGGCCCCTTGAAGCGCAAAATGGTGGGGGCGTTTTGGGGGGCACACTTTTGACATGCCAAGAAATGTTATGCCTTTTAAATCGAAAAGTTTGGGTTTTTTTTGGGCCCAAAAAAACAAAAACTTTGTGGACCTTTAAATGCAGTCCAGGAACTTGCCTTGCCGTTTGAATTAAGAAAAAATATAGGGTTGTTAAATTAAACCGCACAGACAGAACAAACCAAACCCAAATGATGAACAGGAAGACGGCCACTGTTTTTTCCTTTAGAAATGCAAAGGGTTTTTTGGGAAAATTCAGAAAAGTGGGTTTTTTTGGTTTTAAAAACCCAGGACGCAAAGCAAAAAACTTGAAAAATCGTTGGGTTGGGGGTTGAAAAGGTTTTTGGTGGGGGTTTTTTTTTCGGGTTTTTTACAACAAAAAAAACAAGTTCCCTGCATTACATTTGGTCACTTTCCATGGTTTTTTTTTTCAAAGTAAAAAGAAAAAAGGGGCCAGAGCCAGAAAAAACTGGTAAAAAGTTTGTAAGCTAAGTCCCGGTTTTGTTTAGAAAACCGAAAACCAATACACAAAACTTAATTTTTTAACCAACCTTGAAAGGAATGGAAAATGGACTTTCAAATACAGCAACAAGGTTCCGAAAAAAAAGGTCCAAGAAATTCCACCGTGTTTTGCCCAGTTTTTAAGAAAATGGAAAAACTGAAGGGGAAGCCACCCATTTCAACCAGACAAGCCCCGTGGAGGTCAAGTTTTTTTTGGTTGGAAAACCCCTGGTTTTCTAAGCAGATTAAAACTTTCCTAAAGAGAAAGAGGAAGAAAATTGCCGTAAAAAAACCAGAATTAAAAACAGAAAAATGCTGTTGTCCTAAATGTTATGTCCTTGAAGGAAAAGGGAAGAACCTTGAAAAAAATCAAGTTCCAAGAAAAAAGTAAAAAAACATAAGATTAACTTGTTGTTTACGAGCGAAAATTGTTTTGAAAACCAATACCTGATTAGTGTTAATCACAAATCACAAATAAAGTTTGCCCATCATTAACGAAAACACAAATAAACATTCAATAATTGAGAGCACCATTCAACAGCAATAATGAGGGATTATTACCAACATTTTGGGTGCACTCACTTTTTTTACCTCCAAATAAACCAACTTCAGATAATCTAGATACAAGCATGGCTTGTTCACAGCCTGTCTGATTGGCTGGCATCTTGTATCTTACCTGTCTGACATTTAGCAAGTCTGTGTTTCCACTTCCTAGATATTATCAATTACTCTCATGAGTCCAGTGTTATCATAACTAAAAGAAACGATTACCAAAGCCTTGAAAATATAAAAAAACAACCTTTGTTGTAATAAGATAGAATTACCCTTTAGAGTGAATACAAAAGATGCTAAAAGAAAAAAAGCCTGAAAGGTTCATTCCCAGGCATTATGCCACCGCAGGAAACAGGCAGTCTTGTCAGCTTATTGACAGCTAATTTAATAAAGTGAGACAATAAAGACCTGGCCAGACGCTGCATCAGCCGGAGCCGTCCTATCCAAATGCAAGAACGGCGTCCTCAAAAAGACAGCGGTGCTGCCTGTCAAGGTGGCCAGAGCACTGTCAAAGTCTGCAAACTTCTTTTCTTCTTGAACAACAACTGAGTATCCGCAGCCGTCACAGTCTGTCAGGAATGAGACACAGCTCCATTAGCACCTCGGGCTACCTCCGACTCTTAGACAAAAACATCAGCATCTGGGAGCTTTGGCATCCAAGTGTTTTAGTCTCAGTCATGGACATTAAAAGTGATGGGACTGTGCCTTATAGATAAGTGATATCTGACGGACAGGAGTGTTTTGATGATCAAACCATAGAAATAAATCTGCCCTATCCTCGTGTTTTTAGGTGCCTGTAGTGGAAAGTTCCTCTCATACTGTATATGGTTTTGTCTGTATTCTCTAGTGATTTATATTGTGGACGTTTGTATCAATTTGTGCCCCCTCAAAAATGTTGGCTGCACTACGCCCTTGTCAGTATCAGTTTGTTGTGATGTGTTGGTTCATAGATCTCATACATCATCCTAGTCGCCAACAACCACAACAGTCTGTTTGTGTGTGTGTGTGTGTGTGTGTGTCCAGCAGATTGGTGTTTTAGTTACACAACATTTCTTGGAGGCAAAACTTTCTGGCTCTAGAGAAAGAAATAATCTCATTGGAGTTCAACCTCAATGGCTGCAGCCACAACTTTGTGAGAGTTTACAGTTTGTAACCAACTTTTAAATTGATGGCAAAGAAGGAAGTCTTGTTGAAATGCTAAATAAAACAATTACAAATGATACTGGCAATACTGTCTGGGAATTCAAAAAAGGCAATATGGCCACAATGTATTTAACCTGGCCATTAGCAACAGCACTAACCACTCATGTTCACTAGATGTAGAAAATACTACAACTACTTGGTGCTTAATTACCAATTGCACTAGTCTGCAGTGTCACTTTGACTTCCAGTCCTGTAAGGCAGTGTACAACCAGAGCATAGGCTCCGAGCTCACTAAAAGATGGTTGTTGACTGTGAATTAACAGTCACCTGCTTTCCAGTCACTGACAGTATATAATGGACAGAGCTTCCGGGTCTGTGGAGTGTCTTAGAACCTGCATTCTATGTAATGACCAGCAGGGGAAGCTCTATTGGTTGCATTAAAAAACTGATACCATGCAGTCTTATGTAGAAATGACCTGGCTTCTGACTTGATTTATTAGCTCAGTGTTTATGGTCTCAATCTCTAGTTTAGTTTAGTCTACTCCCATGCAGCATGATGTTCATTTAGTAAATTATGGTCCCATTTAGAGTAAAAGAGATAAAGCAGGGTATGCTTTAGGGTGTGGCTAACTTGTGATTGACAAGTCATTGTCAGTGAGTCTGTCCAGCTCATCATTGAGCCCATCAACAGCCCACAAGCAAAAACAGCTTAAACAGAGGTTATTGGATGGGGCACCTTTGACTCTTTCTGAGCATGACATCAGGAAGGCTTTCAAGCGTGTGAAAACCAGAAAGGCAGCAGGTGGTGTATCAGTGGCTGGGCCCTTAAACTTTGTGCTAATCAGCTAGCATTACTACTACTCACAATTATATTTAACCTGTCCCTGACTCAGTCTGTCAAACCCACATGCTTCAACAAGTTCATCATCACTCCAGTGTCCAAGAAAACAACCAGGCTGCCTGAATGGCTATTGTCCAGTGACACTCACCTCGGACACACCTCATCCACCTGTTTTGAGTCCTCTGCTGTACTGCCTGTACACACACGACTGTGTAGCCACTTTTGACTCCAACACCATCGTCAAGTTTGTTGTTGACAGAGCTGTGGTGGCCTATCTGAAGGAAGTAAAGGGCCTGACCCACTGGTACCAAGACAACAACCTCCTGAACATCATCAGGACTAAAGAGCAAATAGTGGACTTTGGGAAGAATCAGGGGGCATCATCGAGGGCATGACCTGGGCGCTGCATAGTGACTCTGTGGTGAAAAAATCAAGTCAGCGACTCACCTCAAGTACTGGAAATTCCTAGTATCATCTCTAACAGCACCAAACAGGATTGCAAGGCCCTGCAAAGAATGGTTTGTTCAATTGAAAGTACAATAGTTGGTGCTCTACCCCACCTAAAAGACATTTACATTAGACACTGCAATAAGGATCCCAACCACCCAAACTTTTTTTCCTGTTGCGAACATCTACCCTCAGGGCACTTACTTAAAACTTTTTGGTGTTAAATCCACGATTGTCCATTTGTAAAGGAGGTTTGACAAACCTTTTTGGCACATTCTGATTCATATCATAATCAAAGTTGTAGGCAGTGAAGCCAACGGAGTATCTCTGACCTACTTGCTGTCACTTCTATGTACACATACACATACACACACACACACACACACACACACACCAGGTCAGAGAGGCTGCTGAAGGTATGTTGATTTGAGGTACATAACCTCTGTCAACCAAATAAGCCGTGAGGGGATGGACAATCAATAAACTTCTAATACGTTCCTGAAAAGTAACAGTTTACCGCAAGGACGGTCCAAATAAAAAGCTGTCAGTCCACACTGACGAAAGATAAGGCTGTGGTGCGTGTGTGTGTGTGTTTTTTTGTGTTTGGGTGATGCTCCAAATTGCAGCTTCTATTGTTTTTGACCGAGCACTGTGGACAGGTAGATACTGTTGTAAGTGATATAATAAAGTACACAGCTTATCAGAAATAGACTGTATATTTATGTAGCATACAAACTGTGCTGTTGGCCCCCTGACTCTATTGGCCCAGAGAAAAACAAACAGCCCAACTGAGAGGCTATGTCTATTTCCCGTCTTTTCCCCTGAGCTGCCTTTAATTTGCTCTGTGGCACTGTACCCACACCGGGGGCCAAGGGCCAAGACCTGCTCATTTACTGGAGTGTGAAATGTCAATATATACTCACAACAAAAGGTATGCGGCTGCACGTCCAGCTCTGCGGGCGTTCTTATTTGAACCAAAGCCATCGCTCTCTGAACACACAGGTGGTCTCAGGACCCAAAGTTTCACATTAGCACCACCAAAGGTCCACTTTAAAGATAAAAAGTCCAGGACCAGGTGCTCACACATGATTCTGGTTATTCTTTTTGTGTGTTCCAGAAGGATAACTTTATGATAATATAGATAGGCTTTGTTAAAAGAAAAGGGAATAGCCTGTTTGCCAAATATTCTTTCCCTTCCTCTGCCAAATTTTAATCTCTTAAATAAACTATATTAGCTCAGGGGTCACATTGTCTGCCTCCTGAGTCACAAAAGGCACCTATTAGCCATCACAGGAGCAGACAAAACTACCTATGATTGCCCCCTTTGAATCCTGTATTGTTAATGTATTGTATTTTAATGGGGAAAGGTAACGCAGAATCAGACAATGTTCAAAGCCACACTGGCGGCAAAGGTTATGGGTATTAAGTGAATTGACTCGTGACGGCGAAAATGAAAGTCAAAATAAAGGGCATTTGAGAGCTGCTTTTATCTGCACGCTGAGTGAATCGTCATTCTGTTTATTCATGCACAAAGAGCCATGTTAAGTTCCCTATATCCCCTTTGATGCCACTGGGCTGGCAAGGCGCTATCCTTCTCTTTATGATTACTGCAGTGGATCTGATTTAGCTGATTTCTTTTGGGATTCTCTTCCAAACCTCTTCAAACTAATAGGTTTGTCATGTTTAATGATGCAGGAAATTTTCCTGAATAGAAGTTATTTATCTTTATCAACTTCCTCAGAAGTGGTCTGTCAGCTGGAAAGGCGTTGCCTCTGACATAGACTATGGGTTGAAGGAATACAAAGGCCAATCACCACTGCCAAGGGACTTAAGCTAAGCCAATAGTACGGGCGAATCTTAAATCATAATAAAATGTTGCTATGTCATCACTGTAATATACATGATTTTCAAATGGAATCCTTTCCCTACAGGCTATAATAGTACACAACGATAGATGAACTCAACCCAAGAAATAAAATAGCTGCATTTTACTGCTTTTTTATCATTATATTTAGGGCAACAGTACAGTGTGTATGTAATAAAGACATTACAGCAAACAAACATTATAATACTAAAAATAGAAAATAAATTTTTGTAGTATAAAATTAGAGGTGCAAAACAATATACACTATGGCATCACAAAACGACCATTAGGATATTTAAGATATCAAAGGACGTCCCGGAGGGGCTGTGAGCCGAGCTGTTGCTAACGTTAGCTCAG